ACCAAGGACCGCTTTCTTCTGCTTTGCCATTCGAACAAGTCGACCTAGGAAGCCATCAACCGCAGCAAAAACTCAACAGCCCATCGAGTCAATGATATACTTGACATGTTGACGTGAAGCAGGATAACTACCAATACCATCAGCGAGAGCGCACCAACACCAGAAGGCGCACAGCTAGATGGCCCTGGTGACCAGTGATACAGAATGCTGGCGACCCTTGGGGTCTCCTTGGCAGCAATAATGTTACTCAAACGCCTGACCATGTTCCCACTAGCCCGAGAATGGGCCGGAACAATACCAACTTATGCTCACATACGCCACCTCGGCTTCCCAGACTGGGAATTACGATTGAATGCCGGTGTAGGGGAGGGGGCTCTGCGAAGGATATCTCAACCCTGACCCCATGAGCTAGGGTATACCTCCTCATGTGTCCAGTGAGACTACGATGACGCACCCGGTCGAACGGCGTTCCAACGCGTACTAGGTCACCTGAAGAAAAGTAACGAGGCCCTAGGAGGATGTTGCTGCCTACTTTTAATGCTATCACTGCTGCTACTGTGTTGCTGCATTGTCTGCGGCGACGGTGAGCCAGGCCGTTGAGGTCTCATACTCGGGCTTGGAGGCCTAGACCTCGCCGACGGAGAAGGCGGCCGATTCTGACACCAGAGCACTAGGTAAGCGCCGATAGTGATAGTGACTATACGTAAGAGCCTGTCGGTGATGACCTCATGCTACCGGTGCCATTCACCAAGCTAGGGGCAGTACTTGGGCGACGACCCGCAGCCGAGCCTGGCAACCCTCGTTTACTGGAAGAAGCGAATGATAGGAAGGTAGCGCGTTAAGAACAGACCTAGGATCCAGCCCTCCCAGTCCTCCTGATGATCCAGCACCTCCCGTACCAATGGACCCTAAAGGGCCATTCCACCCAGCACTCAGACTGCCATCCACTACCCTGCTGACTGCTCCGGAGACTACTAGAGCCCATATAATTCTGCCGGAGGGACGAGGTGGCAGGGGCTCCATTGGAGCCCATCAGCGAGCCCATGCCGGTGCTTGTCGGTAACTGGAGCACAAAAACATGGCCGACGGCCGGGTTGCGATGGCCCCACGCCTCTGAGGCTGCGACGCTCCTGCAGCTGAGGAGTTGCCGATCTTTGATAACCCCTCATCATAGGACTGTCTGACCGCTGATAGCTACCACCCCCAGCAGAACTGTAGAAACGCTGGTTCCTGAGAGTGATGTTCAAGTTCCCCGGCCTATAGCCCCTATCACCTCGGACTAGGATCCCTGTGGCCATACCGATGCTGTTGCTGAGGACGGCCCGCTGGCGAAGGATCTCGACGACTCAGCGACGAACCTGAAGGCTGCTTGGCACCGGTTAGAAGGCATCCAAGAGCATTACTCCTGAGGGGATGGTTGGAGCGCATAGTAGGGCTAGGCAGCCGGGTCGGTCCATCTCCTCGACCCACGGCCCACATATCCTAAGTCGTCGAGAGGATAGCCACCACTCCTCCAGCCATAGCCAGTCATGCTCCTACCACTTTATTCGACGCCCTATTCTCAGTAGCTTCCCTAAAGGTTGGTGTCGAAGGCCTTCTAGGAGGCGGCGACTCTTCCGTTGTTGATGACGTCTCACCCTGTGGTACGCACAATGCAGCCGAATACTGCCACCTACTACTACCCATGCCCTTGTCGGTATCCTAGTACCCCCAAGCCTCGATGGATGGCCAATATCTGCTGCCAAAACACTACGGAAGCGGGCAAGTGAACGGTCTCACTCGATGGACCCGCTTCCCTATCTCGGCCCCGATCCTTCCGCACCCCCTCTCCTTCTCGTATTCGATCCTCCTGAGACAGTCCAATAGCCTTGTCGCCCCTAATACAACTCGCATCACCTCCACGCCAGATAAAGATCGTAATAGACTTCCATCAAGACTGCTCCTCCGACTGCCTCCAGCCCCTGCAAGCTCCACTGAACTGTCTAGACTATCGCCCGAGCCCACGGTCAGCGAAGCGCTTCGCAACGGTCCTAAGCAACGGTAATGATAACCACGGTACTTCCTAGATCGGCCCATCGTACTGTTGAATAGCCCACCCTTGATACTATCAGAGCTGCTGTCCTTAGCCCCACGTCTGGCCACCCTACTGCCCTTCAAACATGACTTCACTGGCAGCACTGCTGACAGCCTCTGAGCCCGCGGTGGGTTACCCGGTACTTCTAGGCGCCCTATAGTAGCACAGTAGACAATCCATCACAAGATAACTCCATCACCTTTATCATCTTCCCCATCGTCGCTCCAATCGATGCTACGTCTCATCACCCCGTTCACAGAGTTACTATTGCGGGACGGCCTAAACTCGA